AGTAAGGGGATCTTAACCCTTGACTTGGTGTTGTCAGCACCATGCTCTCCCAAGTGAGCAACCAGCTATCCCTATATAGGAATCCAAACCTGTAGCCTTGGTATTATCAGCACCACACTCTCCCAAGTGAGCCACAGGCCGTCCCTACAGGTAACTTTCTAAACTTTGAATATGACCATTGTCTTCACTGTTTTAGAGCCATAAAGTATTATCACAAAACAAAATTCATTTAGCAAGCATCAAAGAAAAAAAAAAGGAAAAAAAATGAGAAAAAAGAAAAACATAAAGAAAATAATATCTGCTTTAACTAAAGTTACCTGCTGATGAATCAGCCAACAGTCCATCAGGTTTAGCCTCCTCAATGAAAACAAAGGACATAAACAAATGCATTAAAAGGAAAAGACAATACTGTGACAATTGTCAATGTTAGAAATTTCTGAAAGCCACATTCTGTCAGGTAAGTTTCAAGATTTTGGCAAAATTAGTTTGATAGTTCCTATTCTTCCAGATCTGTAAGGTAGCAGTAGGCAGACAAGCATAAAGATCTAAGGGCAGTTCATTGGTTCTAAGATACAATTTTTTGTATGTTAATATATATGAAATTATTATGGGTCTTACAATAGATGGCATATCAAATTCCATAAATTCAGTAATAAATTAATGATATAAGTTATTACTATTATAAATATAGATTCTAAGACAAATACTTAAGTCGGCAGGTAAGATTCAGTCTTACTTATCTAGCATTGAAATTACTTCAAACACTCACATAGTCTGCTACGTGAATGAAATATGTTTTGCTGTAATAAGAACTTGGAACGTACTCCCTCCACCCCTCAAGCATGTGATGTCTCATCAGACCCCATATGTGAGAACATGGAGTGAACTTCCACTCCCCTCCCCTCAGGAATGCGATGTCAGACCTTATATGAGCTACTAATCTTAACTACTGGACTTAAAAATACATATAAACCTAATTAGGAGTTTGACAAACAGTTTGAGAGCTTAGGCTACGGCAGCATGTACCCGGTTAGCTACTTCTCCAAGACCTGCAGCTCAGGCTGCAACAGGGACACACCCTATTAGCCTCTGAACTTTGAAGTCTGGCCCACTGACACTTGCACAACCCTCTAGCAGCGAGGGATACTGGTGGTCATGGATCACTCCTGAGAAAACACTTGTAAAAAAATAAAAGTATGCCTCAAACTTTAATCAGACTTTACTTTCCACAAAGACGTGCTTCCATCCTAATTGACCAACTAGACTTTAATAATGTAACTCATTCATTATGTGGCTAAAGTATCTCATCTATTGATATTCCCTGTGAGATTTATTGAAGTTATTCTCTCCCCCTTTAAGCATTGTGAACCTAAGAAAAAATTCTCCCTGTATGTCAATAAAACATGTGATTCATGAAATCATACTTTGATCAGCTCTTTATTGTAACCATACAAAACACCTATAATATTTGAAAATTTGCATAAGCTAAAATATGCCAAACTATCACTACTAAAAAATTGTTTTAAAAGTATAAATTTTAATTCAGATCACAAATCATCTTTAAAAGTAGCAAAAATAAAGAATATATTCCATAAGGTTTAATTTACCATGTGCATTAAAAACAAAATAATAACACCTTGGCATTATGTTCATATTTTAAAGAAGTATACACATCTGAAAGAGTTTAATAAGGCATTTCATGGTATACCTTTTTATTTCCTTATACATTGGATTTAGACATATGGGTTTTAAGAATCAATATTTAAAATACATTTTCCCCCAAAGGTAAATTTCCTACCAAAGTAATTTACACCTTGCACTACGAAGAATTTATTTAAATTTATTAAATGTGAAATAATCATCTCAAATGTAGTAAACAAATTCCTCTCTGTTTTCAGGTACAGAAAATAAAACAGGCCATGCTTGATTAATTGTTAATGGCATCTATATAAAACATAAGTAAATGAACTATAAGTATTTTAGATTACGAAAAACCTCTTCAATGTTAACAGAATCCCCATTTAGGGAAGTTCAGTAGTAATAAGGCTGATTTCTTCCTATTCATCTATTTCTTTTTGTCTTTTCCAGTCCAAATGATAATTCTTGGCACAAAGACTAAAAAAAGCAAAAAGAACTGACTGAGAGTAACAATAAGATAATGTGCAAAGGGATCTCTAATCACTTCTTGAAAATAGTAGAACTATTATTGAAGGGTATCTCCTTCATTCTTGCAAGTGAAGACTATATATGGATTTGGTAAAATTCATTACTCTTGGATTTTTCCTGTAATTTTAACATAAAGTCAACATAATTTAAGCATGAAAATCATGATTGGTTAAGGCATTTATTCAAAAACTACACTAAACTATAAAGAATCTAAGATATCAAAAGAATCCCACTCAGAGATAACCACTTTTGATACCAGAGTGATTTTTTCATTTCTATGTATTACTTTTATGTAAAATCATAAAATATACACATGTGTGTGCATATGTATACATATACATTTTTATTCATTTTTTTAAAAAACCTAACATTACTAGAACAGTTTTCCCATATTTTCAAACAGTCATCACTAATAAAGCAATAAATAGCTAATAATATTTCTTTCCCCACCAATAGACATTTTAGTCATTTCTAGTTTATCACAAACACAAATGCTTTGAAGAGATTCACTACTTTTTGAACCTATAATTGTTAACCATTTAGGTATTTGCCAGAAAATTAGAAAAAGGTAGCCCATATTAAAAAAAAATCGATAGGTAAGCAATTCATAATGAAACATCTTTAAGAAGTTACATCTTTGCATCCCATATATTTCTTTGCATTCATTAGAATTTCAAAAAATATATGAAGGTACTTCAAAAAGTTCGTGGCAAAATACAATTAGAAGATAATACAATTGGTTAGAGCATGGTGTTGTAACACCAAGGTCAAGGGTTCTGATGCTCTTACTGGCCAGCCACCAAAAAAAAAAAAAGATACTACGAATATTTCCATGAGCTTTTTGAAGACTCCTCATATACCGTAGGCTATTGAACACAGAGAAACAAATTAGGACATTATTTATATCAGGCCAACTACTTACAAAAGTGGTACTTTGCTTAATTTTCAACACTGAAAATAACTAACAAACATGCTTTAAATATTTTTAAAAGCAATTACTTGCTGCTGCAGCCCTTGATATTTTTCTAGTTCTTTCTTTAATTCTTCTGAGTACCATTTTTCTTCCTAATGAAAAATAAATTTTAATTAGCAAATTTTAAAAGATTTATTATCTGAAACACTGAAAATAAACAAGTATAATCAATTTTATTCTTACCTTAAGTGAAGCCTGTAGGTCTTGGACCTCTTGTCTCAGTAGTGTTATATCATCTCTAAACATTTATAGGGGGGAAAGAAATTATTAGGTAATGTCCTTTAATTAACAACCTGGTCTCTTAACGAATCATGGCTAGTAACCGTAAATTAATATTGTAGCTTTCTTGATTCTTGAAAAGAAAAAAAAAAAAAAAANAGTCTATACTCTGGTATCACAGCACACAGCTCTCAGGATCGCGCTGATTCCTGACGCGGGCGCTCCAGACCCGTCGCCATTTTGAACCCAAATGATTTTTTTCATCATCTTTATACCTTTCAGATTTTCTATAGTAACAACGTATCATTAGACAATCAGGCAAAAATAACTCAAAATTTAAAAAAATCAGGTTGTTACTAAGCCCGAGTCTGGCTGCCTATTGCCAAACAGAAACAAAAGACTTGAAAGTCAAATGTTGGTGAAAAAAGGGAAGGCAGCTTTATTCTAGAACACTGGTACCCTGAGGAGATGGTGGGCTAACCTATCTCATATTCTCAAGTTAATCGAGTGTTTACATAAGGTAAGAAATGAGAAGTGAAAAGCAGGAGAGAGGAGGACATGAGTTGTGGGGGTTCTGTGTAAGGAGTCATTTGTAAAATCTTGCCAAGGCTCTGTCTGGTTTCTGTTCTCGTCCTTGACATTATCTTAGGATCCTGCAGGATTTTGATTTGCTTTGGGGTGGAGTCAGCATAGCTTTATTGATATCTTCCTGAGTTTCTCAGGATCTGGATAATATGTGCCTCATAGCAAGTCTACAACTCTGGGCTGACTGGAAAACAGCTTTACATTTATGTAAATAATGTTGTCCTACCCTGAAACCAAGGTTCATATTAAATAACCATGGGAAAAGAGGGAACTCAGAGAAATGCATGCTAAGCTAGTTTTTATGTTTGTCTTGTATTCTGCTAGACAAGCAAATTCCTATTTCTGGGGATTCAGCCAGCAAGTTTGCCTTGCAAACTTCCTCCAAGGCTGAGGTGTGCTCCAGCCCTAGGGGAAAAGGATCAAATATGATCAAATATGGAGGGTCCTGCCCTTCTTCTCATATTCCTCCTTCAGTTTTGTTCATTCTAACAGAGTTACATATAGAAGTACTTCAGAAGACTGAACATATTCTTTTATCTCTGCTTCTGAAATCACACTAAAAAGGAGAATAAAAAAGTAAAAACAGTATAAACATAGGGACAAAGAGATTGCAGAGTAGAATAGCAGATTAGAAATGTCAATAAATGTTTAGAAGGTGGAATGCAGATGGAAAACTTGGGTTATTTGAATCAACCCTTCTACTGAAAGGCTAAATTATTTTAGTCACCCCTGCCACTGAAAATATCTAACAATTTTGGATAAAATATTTTTAAAAGTCTTCCTAAAACATAAAATATCTGATACAACAGGCCAAAATATACATGAAAGTGGGAATGCAGTATGCTTAAGTAGAACTCTGAAGGCATTTATGCCCTGTGGGTTTTTGCTGAACCTTATAAACAGGAGATTCAGTTTTGATAACTTTCCAGGGTGTAGAAGACAGAAAATAAAACTAGGGGTTCCCACAAGGAGGGACATCTCTCTGGTTATAAATCCTAATCTATAAAGCAGGGACTCCAAAACACACCCTTCTCAGGGTAAGAGTGAAGTTATCTACCTCACCACTTTCAAGAGACTAATGAATATTGCTTTGATGCTCAGTAGAGCAGGGAAGAACATCCCTGAGAAGTGATTACAATCAGATTTTGGACCAAAATTCACTTCTGTTGGCTAGTCCAGAAAACTAACAAAAGCCAAGCTGTGAGTATAGTTTAAAGTGGTCCTAGACTGATAGTGCCCATAGATGTCTGGCAGAAACAAGAATAAATCCTCCCTGAAGGAATATGCCTTCTCTTAGGCCTCAAATAATTTTTCACAAATAGTATTCCAAGCAAAATGAATGGTTGACAGTAGTTTATAGTGCCAAAAGTAATGAGGTCTTATGAGTAAAAAATCAGCATGAATAGAAAAAACTCATTAAGACTTTAGATTTTGGAAAGTATAAGTATAAAGTATAAAGTGTAAAATATAAAGCAGAGTATAAAACAAACATTCTGGTTTTTTTTTTTTTTTTTGGTGGGGGGTGGGTGGCTGGGGATCCAAACCTGTTCTCTTATATTTAAAGAAGTAAATGATGAACTTGAAAATATAGAATAGGAAGCTGTTAAAAATGAGTTTATATTTGAAAAAGAAGAAAAACTTATGGGAATTAAAAAATTCAAGAATTGAAATTCAGCATATTAAACACAACTGAGTACACTAGGTAAGTAATCCAGATTGTAGCTTAGAGAGACAAAGAGGTGGAAGATATGAAAGAGATATTAAGAGACATGAAGGATAGGATGAGAAGGTCTAATATATATCTGAGCAGAGTCCCCAAAGGAGAAAAGAGAAAAAATGAAGCAGAGGCAATATTTGAAAAGATAATGGCTGAAAAAATTTTAGAACTGATGAGAGACACCTACCCAGAGAGTCAAGAAGCCCATCATCTCACAAGCATACTAAGTATAAAGAAATCCATACCGCAGCATGTCACTATTAAAGGAAATTCCAAAGAATGTACTTTAGTCAGAACACTTCTGTTCTGAGGTGCAGGAAGGAATAAAGAGCAAAGAAAGTAGTAAATATATGGATAAATCTAAATGAACATTGACTATATAAAACAAAAATAATACTATTGTGTTAAGAAAAAGACAGAATGAAAATACAGGACAACAATAACATGTAAGTCAGGTGGAGGATACGTGGACTCAGTCTTTTAAATTCCTTGTATAGTCCAGGAGAAAGTTAAAGCAAAGGTGGATCTGGGTTTTTTGAGATGTAAAACAAAAACATTTAGAGAGACTTTATTTAAGAAAAAGAATATAATATTAGGGAATTGTGTTAGTCAGCTTGGGTTGCCATAACAGAATAACACAGACTTGGTGGCTTAAAAAAATAGAAATTTATTTTCTCACAATTCTGGAAACTGGAAGTTCAGTATCAAAGTGCCGGCAGGGTTGGTTTCTGGTGAGGCCTCTCTCCTTGGATTGTAGACATTGGGGGTTAGGGCTTCAATGTATAAGTTTTGGAGATACATAATTCAGTTCATAAAAGATATGAAAGTAAATATTTATTTAAAATAAGAAAATACAGCAAATTACAGATATGTGAAAGTTGACACCACAAATTTTACAAAAGGAAGAAAAATATATTTTTACTTTTTTTTCCCTTTTTTTTGTCTTTTTTCGTGACCAGCAACGGGATCGCAACCCTCAGTGTTGCCCCCGCTCCTCGCTCAGCCAGTGAGCGGCCGGTCTGTATGTGGGATCCGAACCCTCGGCGGGAGCGCCGCCCGCGCTTCCCAAGCAGCGCACTGTAGCAGTGCGCCACCGGGCCGGCCCTATTTTTACTTTTTAAGTACTCTTTTCTCTAGATTTTTTTGCTTCATACTCTTTGATTGGCTTTAGATTTGATAGCAATTTTATAGTATAATTTCCATAGAGAAAATAGAAATTAATTAATACTTTCTCTAGCATAATTATTGAAATTTGTTTTTTATTACTTTTAATTTAGAAAAGTTTTTTTCAGCTTCATAATTGATTGGTAATATGTATATTTTTTGGAATGCTGTCAAATTTTGGAAAACCTCTACCAATTTCTTTAATAATGTGCTATAGGATTTCAGGATATTTCAAGATTTTGTTTTTAGATGAAGTGACTAATTTTAAATACTGTTTGAATTGACATCACTAGTTTATTGTCAATATCTTATTTAGTGAATAGTGGGAATTTTATATTTTCTTCAATGGTGTCAGTATTTAGTGTCAAATCAGAAAGAAATTAATAAGAGTCTGTATCATGTGACTGGCAGGGTCATTTCAGACCAAGGAAAATGTATAACTAAAGGAATGGTTTGGCGAAGATAAAGAATTCAGTTTGGATAGAGTGTAATGTATAGGTTAGGGCAGCAATACGATCTGAAGAAAACATACTAGAAGCAGGTAGGTAAGTGGGAAATGGGCAGCAATGTCAAACTAATAGTGTCAATAGGATGAGGATAGACATCATGCCCTAACATTACGAATCAAAGGCCTGTTGATGGCATAATCATATGAAAGGCTCTCCCACTTACTAATATTAATTATCCAAGCAAGCCCTGTAAACATGTCTCTACACCTAAACTAAATGTATTCTCAACTTAATTTCTCTTAGCCGATCCCCACAATGGCCACGGCCACTTTAATACTGAGGGGAAATGTGAGAGAGGAAAGTAGGAGTAGAAAGAGATGGGGAATTTAATCATCTGAAATCAAAAGTGTCTTATTTTTGCAAAGTTTATAAAAACATATGACAAGGTGAGCACCTTGCCAGGGTTTTTTGCCAGCCTCAGAAGGAGTGAGAGTCCTTGAAATTTAAGCTTCACTATCTTCATGATAAATCTACCTCCAAGGGAACCATGTTTATTTGCTTTAAACTTTCATGTCAATTCATAGGGAACTCACCAAAGAATAAAAACAAGGCATATCACAGAAGGATGTGGGTCATTAAATTGAAAAGGTGAATAAAAATGCTTTTTTAAAAATAAAAAAGCACAGCATTATCATTTCAGGAAAGCAAAGACAAAGATAAGATTCTAGAAGATTTGAAGAAAAAAAGACCATTTACTAAAGACAGAGAAACTGAATGGTATTAAAGTTCTTAACTGAAACAGTTGAAATTAGAACATAATAGAGCAATGATTTTAAAGTTTTAATGGAAAACGTTTTTAAATTTTGAATTTTTTTTAGCAAAATTGTCAAGTATGAGGGTAGAATAAAGATATTTTGAGACATATATGGTCTCTAAAAATTTGGCTTCTGTACAACTTTTCTCAGGAAGGCCTGGAAAATGCTTAATGAAAACATAAGAGAGAATAAAGCAAGAAAGAAGATTCGTGAGAAGCAGGAAACAGAAAAGTCAACATAGAAGAGAGGTGAAGGGAAGTTCTGGGAAGAAGAGAAGCAAGACTTGAGAGCAACCAGCTTAGAGTAGGAGGATGGTATTCTACAAAAAGAGAAAAGATAAAAAAGAACTAATAGATGTATATAGAGGAGTTTTATTAATTAATTTGAAGAATTTGCTAAGAAATAGTGATAGAGCCATGAAAAACTAAGCAAGTAACAAGAAAATTGTTAACTCTAGGAAAAGTGAAAAGTTTTAAAGGAAAGGATAAGTAATCAGAGTGGCTGAGTGGTGGGAAAAAAAAGCTGTTCTTATGTAGTTATAATAAATACCAAATATTGATTTTACCAAAAATTGCGATGTTACTTTTTTGGGTGGAGAGAGGGAGAGGAAAATGGAAGGAGGATGTGTATATATGTGTGTATGTAGTAAAATTTTCTCTTTCCAAATAAGAAATCAATAAACAGTATCTAAAAGAGATAAGTTAAGCAGAATGTGTGTTTTATTTAGAAATATGGCAATAAGTGTCAGAACAAAAGCTAGAGGAGTGGATAATGATTTTTTCTGGGGGTTGCAGCTGAGGGATGAGGAGGGGTGAGCGAAGTACTGCTGGTTTTTTCTTATAAGCTTTGTAGAACTTTTTAGCTTTTTAAAACTATGTATATGTGTTAATTTGGTAGAAATTAAAACCAATTATAAGAAAGACACCACAGGGCAATTTGGAGAAAGTGATGTTTTAATTCAAATATTTTTGAATTAAGAAAAGAAAATAAGTTCAACTGGTGAGGTCCAAGGTGGTATGTGCTAAAACCAAGAGAGTGCACAAAGGCATAAGGTCCTGTCCTCATTACCCTCATCAGTAGATAAATGGTAAGTCTGCCTTTCTATCATATTAAATAGACCTCCAATGAGGCTTAATGGAAATGACTAGCACTCTGTATTCTGCTTTAAAATATTTCTTTTTAATTCTCTAAAATCTTTGCTTTCACTTTTATAAAAATCCCCAGCTTTGCCAGTGGGGCTAATAATGACTTGCCTTCCCAAAGTAGTAATGAACTTCCTATTCTGTTACCGCAGGAAAAATGGAGTAAAGATGTCATACCTATAGAAATTTGTAAGTTCTAGAACATATTTGTTCATTTGATTCATTATCTTCACGAGGTGAGAAATCGAGCTTTTTAATACCTCATATTGTGTTATAATTTCTTGTAACTTTTCTCTCTCCTATGAAGCTGTATCTTAGTGAATTAGGTATGTATATGCCAAAGGTCAAAGCCAAAAAGCCTAGAAAAGCTAGGATTATAACCATAGTCTCTTAACTCCTAGAGTATGCAGTTTCCAGTATGCCAGTTTCTCGATAAAAGTTGTCCAGTGAATTTATTCAAAATCATTATAAAGCACTCTAATGTAGTACATACGTACACCAACTTTGGAATCAGGCAGATTTAGGTTCAAATCTTAGTTCTGCAACTTGCTAGCTATGTGACTTGAGACAAGTAATACATTTCTCCAAGCCTCAATTCCCTTACATGTAATATGGGAATATTAATATCTACCTTGAAGGATTAGGTGAGATGAGTATGTAAAGTGCTGGCATGGGTTTGTGGTTGTGTGTGTACAGATAAAGTATGTATGGCATCTAATAACTTAGTATTGCTAATATTATTCCTGTAAAAATATATCTTTTTTTATTTTTTGTTTTGTAGATGCTGCCATCATGGTCTCTTGCTGTGCTATTTCTTGGTCAACTGTTGGTTATCAAATAGCTTTAAGAAAATCCTTGCCTGATAAAAATCTCCTTAATGGACTCTGTCCAAAAGTCACATATCTCTTTTACAAGTTATTTACCTTATTATCTTGGATGCTGAGTGTTGTACTTCTGCTATTCTTTAATGTTATGATTGCTTTATTTCTGCTGTTATTTCTTTGGTTTTTAGGTATAATATGGGCATTTAAAAAGCAAACTCAGTTTTGTACTTCTATTACTATATAATTCTTATACAGAATTGTTGTTGGATTCATTCTTATCTTTACATTTTTTAATATTAAGAGACAGAATACCAAATGTCCAATGTCTTGTTATTATATTGTAAGGGTACTGGCCACAGTGGGCATATTGATTGTGTTCTGGGTTTTCCCAGATTCTGGGTTTCCTATTTTATAGGTATCAGTATCACTGTAGTTTCTACTCTTCTCCTTGGAATTATTTAACTTTAAAAAATTTTTATTTTATTTTTATCGTTAAATTGAAGTATATATTTACATCTTATTTATTTATTTATTTATAAATTTTATTTTATTTTGTCAATATACAATGTGGTTGATTATTGTGGCCCATCACCGAAACCTCCCTCCCTCCTCCCTCTCCCCCCTCCCTCCCAACAATGTCCTTTCTGTTTGCTTGTCATATCAACTTCAAGGAATTATAGTTGTTATGTCTTCTTCCCACCCTCCCCCAGGTTGTTTGTGAATTTATTTATTTATTTTTAGCTCCCAGAAATAAGTAAGAACATGTGATATTTCTCTTTCTGTACCTGACGAGTTTCACTTAGTATAATTCTCTCTAGGTCCATCCATGTCATTCCAAATGGCAGTATTTCATTCTTTTTTACAGCAGAGTAGTATTCCATTGTGTAGATATACATTTTCTGTATCCACTCATCCGATGATGGACATTTGGGCTGGTTCCAACTCTTAGCAATTGTAAAGAGTGCTGCAATGAACATTGGAGAACAGGTATTNCGGTTGTTTGTGTATTTATTTATTTATTTTTAGCTCACACAAATAAGTGAGAATGTGATATTTCTCTTTCTGTGCCTGACTTGTTTCACTTAATATAATTCTCTCCAGGTCCATCCATGTTGTTGCAAATAGCAGTATTTCATTCTTTTTTATAGCAGAATAGTACTCCATTGTGTAGATATACCACATTTTCTGTATCCACCCATCTGATGATGGACATTTGGGCTGGTTCTAACTCTTAGCTGTTGTAAAGAGTGCTGCAATGAACAGGGGAACAGGTATACCTTGTACTTGATGATTTCCATTCCTCTGGATATATTCCCAGCAGTGGGATAGCTGGGTCATATGGTAGATCTATCTGCAATTGTTTGAGGAACCTCCATACCATTTTCCATAGAGGCTGCACCATTTTGCAGTCCCACAAACTGTGTATGAGAGTACCTTTTCCTCTGCAACTTTGCCAGCATTTATCATTCACAATCTTTTGGATATTAGCCATCCTAACTGGGGTGAGATGGTATCTCAGTGTGGTTTTGACTTGCATTTCTGGAATGCTGAGTGATGTTGAGTACTTTTTAATGTGTCTGTTGGCCATTCATATATCTTCCTTTGAGAAACGCCCATTTAGCTCTTTTGCCCATTTTTTAACTGGGTTACTTGTTTTTTTGTTGTAAAGTTGTTTGAGTTCCTTGTATATTCTGGATATTAATACTTGTCAGATGTATATTTTACAAATATTTTCTCCCACTCTATTGGTGGTCTTTTAACTCTGTTAATTGTTTCTTTTGCTGTGCAGAAGCTTTTTAGTTTGATATGATCCCATTTGTTTATTTTTCCTTTGGTTGCCCATGCTTTTGGGGTTGTAGTCATGAAGTCTGTGTCCAGTCCTACTTCCTGAAGTGTTTCTCCTATGTTTTCTTTAAGAAGTTTTATTGTTTTGGGGTGTATATTTAATTCTTTAATCCATTTTGAGTTGATTTTAGTATATGGTCAGAGGTATGGGTCTAATTTCATTCTCCTGCATATTGATATCCAGTTATCACAGCACCATTTGCTGAAGAAGTAGTCTTTTCCCGAGTATAGGCTTGGTGCCTTTGTAGGTGTATGGGTTGATTTCTGGATTCTCTATTCTATTCCATTGATCAGTGTGTCTGTTTTTATGCCAGTACCATACTGTTTTGGTTATTATAGCTTTGTAGTATAGTTTAAAGTCAGGTAGTGTTATGCCGCCAGCTTTATTTTTTTTGCTCAGAATTGCTTTGGCTATGCATAGTCTTTTGTTATTCCATATAAATGTCTGGATAGTTTTTTCCATTTCTGAGAAAAATGTCATTGGAATTTTGATGGGGATTGCATTGAATTTGTCTATCACTTTGGGTAGAATGGTCATTTTCACAATGTTGATTCTTCCAATCCAAGATAATGGGATCTCTTTCCATCTTCTGGTGTCCTCTTTAATTTCTCTCAGCAGTGGTTTGTAGTTCTCATTACAGAGATTTTTCACATACTTGGTTAACTCTATTCCTAAGTATTTTATTTTTTTGGTGGCTATTGTAAATGGGCTAGCTTTCTTGATTTCTTTTTCTGCATATTCACTGTTGGAGTACAGAAATGCTACTGATTGTTGTGTGTTGATTTTGTATCCCGCTACTTTGCTGAAATTGTTTATCAACTCCAAGAATTTTTTTGTAGAGGCTTTTAGGCTGTTTGATATATAGGATCACGTCATCGGCAAAGAGGGACAGTTTGACGTCATCTTTTCCAATCTAGATGTCCTTTATTTCCTTCTCTTTTCTGATCGCTCTGGCTAGTACTTCCAACACTATGTTGAATAGGAGTGGTGAGAGTGGGCATCCTTGTCTAGTTCCTGTTCTTAAAGGAAAAGCTTTCAGCTTTTCCCCATTCAGGATGATATTGGCAGTGGGTTATCATATATGTGATATTTCTCTTTCTGTGCATGACTTCTTTCACTTAATAAAATTCTCTCTAGGTCCATCCATGTCATTGCAAATGGTAGTATTTCATTTTTTTTTACAGCAGAGTAGTATTCCATTGTGTAGATACACCACATTTTCCTTATCCACTCATCCAATGATGAGCATTTAGGCTGTTCCAATGCTTGACTATTGTAAATAATGCTGCGATAAACATGGGAGTGCAGGTATTTTAAGAGATTTTTAAACACAATAAAAATTGAGAACCACTGCTATAGGGGAACCAAGTAGTTGGATATGGGACTTAGAGGCAGAGTAAGGAGCTTAGATGTTGGGGGAGAGGATGATGAATGGATGAGTACTATGAGCTAGTCAACGGGGTGGGAGATGGAGTCTCGATGAGAACAACAACAGCAAAAAAATAAGGCACTGGAATCATAAGGCACCGGGATCATGGGGACAGCTGTGGGAGTGGGAAATGGCCTGTAGTAAAGGGATCATGTCTGAATCTTGTCTCAGCCACTGCCAGCTGAATGGTCTTCTGCAATCCCTTTCCTCTTCCTGAACTGTGCTTCCTCAGCTTTGAGGACGTTGGGCCACTGCTAGTTATCTTTTGGGATTGTTTTGAGGCTGTGAAGCAAATTAATATAAGTGAGATGCCTGACATATTATCGGTGCTCCATAAAAAGTACATGAATTTGAACTTAAGTGGGAAGCTGAGTGGATGGGGCAGAACAGTGACGAGGGAAGAAGTTCCTTTCACTCTCGTGGTGACTGTGGCTCACTCAAGCAACTCCTGCCATTGAAACATTCAATTCTGGCATCCAGGCAGCCTGAAGTTATATTGTCCTTGTGTTTGATTTTATTAATATGGTGTATCACATTTATTGATTTGTGTATGTCGAATCAACTTGCATCCTTGGGATGAATCCCACTTGATTGTGGTGAATAATTTTACGTATGTGTTGTTGTATTCTGTTTGCTAGTATTTTACTGAGGATTTTTCATCTATATTCATCAAGGATATCGGCCTGTAGTTTTCTTTTTTAGTTGTGTCTTTACCTGGTTTTGGTATCAGGCTGATGTTTGATTCATAGAATGAGTTTGGGAGAATTGCCTCTATTTTAATTTTTTGAAATAGTTTGTAGAGAATTGGTGTCAATTCCTCTTTGAATGTTTGGTAAAAATCTGCTGTGAATCCACCTGGTCCGGGGCTTTTCTTTGTTGGGAGCCTTCTTATAACAGCTTCAATCTCCTTTATTGTTATTGGTCTGTTCAGATTTTCTACATCTTCTTGGCTCAGTTTTGGTAGCTTGTGTTTGTCCAGAAATTTGTCCATTTTCTCCAGATTTTCTAATTTGTTGGTATATAGTTGTTTATAGTAGTCTTGAATGATTCCTTGTATTTCAGATGTATCAGTTGTAATATCACGTTTTTCATTTCTAATTTTTGTTATTTGGGTCTTCTCTCTTCTTTTTCTAGTTAGCTGTGCTCATGGTTTGTCAATTTTGTTTATTTTTTCAAGAAACCTACTTTTTGATTCATTGATCTTTTGTGTTGTTTTTTGGGTTTCATTCATTAAGTTCTGCTCTGATCTTAATGATTTCTTTCCATCTGCTGACTTTGGGTTTGGATTGTTCTTGTTTTTCTAGTTCTTTAAGGTGAAGTATTAGGTTGTTCACTTGCCATCTTTCCATTCTTCTGAAGTAAGCATTTAATGTGATAAATTTCCCCCATAGTACTGCTTTTGTAGTATCCCAAAGGT